TTCTATAGTGACTTTTTTCGTAGTCATTTGCATATTTTAATATTATGCCCCCAAAATCAAATATCCCCTACTTTTTTTGAATAGTATATATAAGGTCTATATTTTATACTGTATATAAATACTTGTTGATGTTTTACATATATGTTATCATTTGCTTGATAAAGACGAGAGTATCATGCAGTGGTCGCGTTAATGCTGTAGCCTACCGTGATGATGGCCCGTGGAGGACACACGGTACTGACATCTGTGTCGTACTTTTGGTTTTGACCCCTCTGACTTTGTACCCTTGATTACAGATTAAACATCCATAAGTGTACAAATGTGTTGTTAGTGATGTGTTCCCATTTGAATATTGTTCACAATAAGAAGCAAAATAAATAAGATATGTTTACAGGATCATTTTGTTATACGAAAAACTAAGTGATGAGTTTTCCATGGCGCTCAGTATATTACGGTCGAAAGTCATTACAATGCGGTCGGCGGTAAAAAGTATTTGGTCGGCGGTAATTACACGACGATCGGCGGTAAAAAGCATTTGGTCGGCGGTGGTCGGCGATAAAAAGTACCACCGTGTAATAAACGATAGTAATTGCTATTCCATAAAGTGTCCTAATTACTAAATGCCATTCAAAGAATATCGATATAAATGCAAAGCATACAATGTTGAATGCTAAAATATTGGGTAACCACCCACACAAAATTTCGTGGCAAACGGTTCGTCCGTTTTTTGTGGTATGGAGAGATGGACGGATATACAAGTGGTGAAATAAAGTAATAAGATATACATAGAAAGAAAAATATAAACTGCGGCAACTGAACAAACAAGTACATTGTAAGACCAACAATATCAATCCGTCTGGAAGATCTTAGATGGTGACGAGGATGACGATTCCTACAGATGGTATTTTGGTGGAACAGAATGGACTTCAAGAGCTTTTAGGGTCATCAGCTAAATCAACTCCCAGGTCTGAGAGCCGCGCAATAAAATACTCATACAACTTGTACTTCCTTCTTATTTGAGATAGAAGAGGATTTTGCGTTCTTAAGTTACTGTTATGTTCTAGTAAACTAATACTAATAGTGAAACTTTTAACGAAAAAATTAATATTGTACGCAGAATTTGAATTAACTTATCCCTGAGTGGGGTAAAGAGGGCGTTCTTAAGGGATGAAGGATGGGTTGGGAATCTTCTTAAGTAGAGTTTTTGAAGTCATTTGATGTAAGCCTACATAGGCAGAAGGCAGGTAAGATGATATTTGTAGCCGGAAGTTGACTTAAATCGTCAGTTTTGGTCATTCCATCCTTGCACCCCTCCCTTTTTGTCATTTTCATTCCAGATACAAGGGGATTTCGCATTCTTAAGTTAGTGTTATCTTCTAGTGGACCAATAGTGAAACTTTTAACAAAAAATAATGTTGCACGCGCAAATTGAATTAACTCATCTCTAAGGGGAATTTGGGGTGTGGTGGGATGCGGGGGGGGGGGGGGTAAAGGGGCTGTTCTTAAGGAAGGAAGGAAGCGTTGGGGGTCTTCTTAAAGATACATTATGGGAGATTAGATAAAGAGCTGGCAGTTGTCACTATAATAGTTAAAAACTAGATACTATAAAGGGATTTTGCTGAAAATTTCAGTCAAATTGATCCACTATGAACCAAGATTTTAGCGATTAAATTTTCGGCCTAGCCTCGATCATCATTACTAAAGTCGGTAGGATAAAAAACATAGTCTCGATTATCCATTTCATGATTTAATTATGAATGGAAGTCGAACAGCAGATCGGAAACTAATCCAATAAACATTGCAGCCTAGTGATGCCATTGAGAGTTGATTATGGTCTGGATAAGTTAATTAATGTCTAATTAATAATTTAGATAACATTTCAGGCCTAAAGAAATACCTGCAATAGGCAGATTTAGCTCTTGCATAATGTATGTTTAATGACATCTGAGGTTAGTTGAAGTATGCACAAAAGTTGATCGTTGTACGTCAAAGTCGAATTAAATCGTCGTTTTACCCATGACCCCCCTCCGTTTTGTCATTTCTTATCCAGGATAGAAGGGGATTTGCATTCTTAAGTTAGTGTTATGTTCTAGTGGACCAATAGTGAAACTTTTAACAAAAAAATTAATGTTGCAGGTGGAAGTTGGATTAACTCTTTTCTTAAGGGGGTAAAGGGTGTGCTCTTAAGGGAAGAAGAAAGGGTTGTGGGTCTTCTTAAGCAGTGTTTTTGGCGACATCTGAGGTTGGTCGACTTATGCACAAAAGTTGATCGATATACGCAAAAGTCAAATTAAACTCCAAATTTCGACGTTTTGTCGGACCCCACATCTCCAAGGGAAGGGGACCAGCAACTTAAGAATCAAGGTTCAGAGTATCAGGCACTGCTGTCCACTTATCTAGCATGGTAGAAATTTTGTACGTGATTTTCGAAAAAAACTTGAACCTAGTTCCCTTACTATATGTGAGTTTTAGGTTACATTTTAGTGGAAAAGATCACATGTTTTCAGATTCTTGTCTCCATTACTTCATAATGATACTGCTCAAAAAATGACAAAGATATCTCCTAGCTCATCAGACTCTAGCCACCCAGCACATAATTTCTGGGTAAACACCCGCCCACCAACCCTTGCAAGCCCCCGGAACCCCATTAACGGTATAAATGAAATGAAATGGGGATTAACGTCCTACTGTTCTGCTACGACTGGGCTAATGAAGAAGGGCATTGATGGTATAAATGTTAATTAGTGCTCACACATGGTCTTGTGTGTCGTGTCATACAGCATCAGCTGTCACCACACACCTAAAATACTGTTAGCAATTTACGTTCCCTTGTCTATTATGTTTTCTGCATTTTGGTTTAAGTCAAAATTTAACCAATACCATAATCTTTGACAAGGATTGAAGGCATCTGGTATTTTCACCAATGCTGTATTAAATTTTATGTCAACTTAAAAGATACATTATGGGAGATTTTTATAAGGAGTTAGCCATTCTTGCTATAACAGTTCAAAAATAGATGATGAAAGAAGAATGAAGAATATATTGAAAATTTCAGTCAAATTACTTTATTCTGAACATAGTTATCACCAGTGTAATTTTTGACTAGAAATGGGATTGAATTCCATCTTCACCGATTCTTAGAATGGCCGATCGTTTGATTGACAGGCGTTAACTCCACCTACATAATCTCTGCTGTCTTTTGTCGGCTGTCATCAAAATGAGAAAGAGGGTAAATTTTCATTCTTACTTGTATTTTGGGCATGCATTAAATCAGTTGAATATAGGACATAATATTATAATACAATTATGATAAATCTATAGGTATACACCAGTGGCGTCTTGCCTATTGGGGGAAATAAAAATATTTTTATTGATATATTAAGGCAGAAGACCTGTCCATCTGTTTTAGTCATCACACGGTCTCCAGGAATTGTATAATTTGTCATTATCTGTGTTTAGTTTATTGCACTTTAAATAGTTTAGATGTCATTTGTTAAGGCATCGCTCAACAGTGGCCTCGCTTTGTACAATTGTTAGTATAAATGTACCATTTACTTGACAATTATGATGATTTTCATCAGGCCCTAAACAGAGTTATTACATTTTGCTTGGACTCTCTGGATTTGTGTTCCTAGTGTTATATTATATAAGCTTTCCAAAAATGTATACTGGTAGTTTGTTTAGCATGGAGGATCTTGTAGCGGAATTGTTTCTAAGCAAGCTAGAAATTTTGGCTGCAGGCCTACTAATACAGTTTTGTCGAGTTAGCAAATGTAGGCTAGGATAAAATTATCATTGTTTTGTGTGTATATATATATATATATATATTTTATTTGCCTTACTGTTATAAATCATTTTCTATGTATGTTTATTGTTGGGGCCCACGGTAGCTCAGTGAGTAAGACATTGGCACACTAACCGAGAAAGTGGCTCAGTGAGTAAGACATTGGCACGCTAACCGAGAAAGTTCATTGGATTTTCAGGCGTGGTTCATATTTTGAGTGGTTTAGGATGGAGGGCCTGGCAAGGGACAATGTACAGCAGTTTGGATCAGAGAGAGAGAGAGTTTAATCCACTTCACAAAGTAGGTCATTTCGGGACAAACACATGGTTCAATTTTATTATTTAAATAATTTGCATGCGCCTAGGGGTTTTTAGTAGTGGGAGGGAAATAGAGGACCCTAAGAAAACCCACGAAGTTGGGAGGTTGGTGGAAGTTTGGATGGGACATATAATACATTAGCATGTAGGCCTACCGATTTCCCTCGTAGCACTTTGCATGGCCTTTGCCTGTCTTCGTTAGACCAGTCAGTGCAGGAAAGTGGGATGTTAAAACCTGATTCATTTCACTTATTTATCCTATAGGCCTATGTTGTTTATAAATATAATGCTGTCCTTAATCTTAATAATGGATATTTCGGAACAAAAAAATCTTATCTTCTAATGACCTTTATAATAAACTCTCAGAATTTTGTCTGCAACCCACAGTTTGAAAATATCGTCATTTTTTATTCAAGCCTTCCCTGGGTTTCAATCTTGTTTTTAATGAATAAATGATGTAGGTCCTGCATGCAGCCTACATGTGGGTAGGGCCTACCAGTATCATTAATGATTTAAGTAGTAAATTACATTAGTAGTAGGCTAATAATAATAACATCAGTAAACTTTTGGTGAAATGTGATGTATATGTAATTATTGTATTACAAGAATTCTCTTTGTCTATACCTTTTGTATTTGTCTTTATAATAGTGAACGGTTGACTAAAAACACATCTGCTTGAGTGTATTTTTCTTTATCTAAGTTATCTGTAGCTTCTACAGCTTTTCAGTGAATGTTTGTCTTTTAACACCCTCAACCAAATGTGCTGGGCATCGTAAACCTTGTACATCAATCAAATAAATATCTTGCTTCTGATTGGCTGTGCTCGGGAATCTTGGTATTTAATTGGCTAGAAATTGATTGGGGAGGGATGTAAGCATTGATTTCTACGCAGGGGTGATACAGCCAGAGTGTGAATTTTACAGTTGCTGTGTGTTTTTAGTGTTATGTTGTTTCTTTTGGATTGCGTTTACTATGGATTATTTACAAAGGATCAATATAAATAAAGACATCAATTGTTAGCTGACTTTGCCACACTGAGGATAAACTTATGGAATTTATTTGCATTTAAGTGTTTTAATCATGATATAGCCTAGTATTAATGGATACTTTCTTGTGTTTCGCCATTTTTCACCATTGACGGCATTGAACACCAGTCTATGGAATATTGCGTTGAAAGGCTTTGAATCCTCTTATCATGAGGAATCATTGCTTTCAATAGCCTACATAATCTTTACACGGATATCGGAGGGAGAATAAGGAATATTGAGTGTAAGTATCTATGGTATTTTTGAGTTTATATGAACAACAGGCCCCTCGGACCAACTAAGGAAAGATGTGTAAAGTTTAGCAAAGATTATTGTTCTAGCCCCAGTGTTATGTTTTGACAGGTGATCACCAGACAGTCATCCATTACATTCATATATTATAATGAACATGTACCGATACTCGTAATCGTATATAGGCCTACATACCAATGTGAGTAATATTGCTGGAATAAATCGGCGTGTATTAGGCCAGTAGAAAGGTTAATATACGACAAGCATCCTATGTAGCTGATTATTTATTCCTGGTAATATTATTGATTGATTGGAGTTTGATCTGCTAGCCGAGTCGGTTATTCGTTGATGTTCACCAACTGTAGAGTAGACTGTAGGCCCGAGTTTAACAAATTTCCTACATCTATTCATTGTTATTTTTTTAAGAATAGCTAGCCCAGATGTCGGCCTATAGTTTAGTTATCATCAACACCCAGTTTCCCAATAATGTGGTCTTTACAAAAAAAGACGGTACGGTACTTTGAATTCACATTGCATATGAATGAAGAAACGGTAGGCTACATTTCTAAAAGAATGCAGGTTCTGACTTTAAACTAAACGACAAGTAAATTTTGTCCATGTAATTCTTGTTTTACAAATTACAAGATACCAATATAATGTTTTAAGTGACACTCAATTGCACAAGCAGTGTTTTTTATCCATCAAATTGGGGCAAAATTTTGCTATCGACATCGTTATGAAGATCATACATGTACTGTAGCTGTCGCTGTCGGCCATTTTCTCGGACAACTTCTGCATGCATAATTTTCAAGTGTTTAGTTCTTCAGATAGATTTTTCTGCCAGTTTGTGTGTGATTCAGTTAGCTGCTCCAGACGGCTAAACATGTAAATCGGCCAAACGTTTGGTGAAACGGCCCAAAAATATTTATATTCATCATAGATTAAATTATTATTCATTGCAAAAACAATAGACCCTACCGTAAAACTAACTATAAAACCGGGTGAAGGTTGCCACTTTGTGGCATTTATCCCCATTTTGAGCAAGTAGACTGCACAAAAGATCTCAGCATGTAGCCTACTGGTATTCATTTGAGCCCATTTGAGAACCCAATTATTGAATTAAAGTAGCTAAGTCTCTACCTCAATATCATCCGAAAGTCTTCGAAATTGAAAACACAAATTATTTGTCAATTCAAATTAACATTGATGTTGTGATTTTACCGCGAAAAGATGGGCTTCTGATATCCACTATTTAAGATAAAATAAACATTTTACCATTTGTGCACGAATCGTGTACCTTAATGCGTTTTCAGCACCATTTGTAACAAGGGACTCAAAGAACGAGGCTAGACATAGTCCAAATGTCATGTCAAACGGTGATGCCATATAGGCTAATGCCATATTGTTTTCTGGAGAGCATGCACAATAAATACTGTCGGTGTAGACTGGAATAACTAGATGGTTGAGATTGCCACTAGATGGTTGAGATTGCCATTCGATTGAGACTTCTGGCATAGGTTTGTAGACATAACGGCCCTAAACATAATACAAACTATAATATTTCACATACGTAATAATACATTGTATAAAACTTACAATAAAATATCTAAATACATAATTTACAGTGTATAGATAAAGTTGATAAAAGTCCCATCAATAACCCATTGGCCGGATTTAGCAAGCAAAGCCAACTGTTTTGTGGTTGAACTTTTATATCGGCACGTAAAAAATCAGGTATTGCATCTTCATTTACCTATAAAATGAATTTGTAAATATAGCTTTTATATGTAAATATAGCTTAACCGAAAATGAATTTTGTAATATTACAAATTTTGTAATATTTTAACACAATGTTGTAATTTGTAATTATAACTTCAACAAAATAAATAACTTAGAAATTTGCTAACGCAGCTGCTCTGATTAGGTTCTCAGGATTTTCTCTGAATGGATTGGAGATGTCCATTTTTTTTTTTACTTTTAATAGATAAAAAATAAATGATTAATGTTTATCTCGTATATTATCTAATCAGATCAGAGGGTGTGAAGTACCTAATTAGGGATTATCCAATCAGTTGATTAATTAGTACTACTCACCTCTTTTCTTTGAATTACAATTACACTTTACAGGCAATTTACAGCATGTAATTTTCCGGGTTGGCTTGTGCTATTATGGGCAATTTTTCCACTGACAAATTCTTCAGGACACATGGTTTATATAAATGTAGCATCACATCCATGTTTTGTTTAAATACATGTAAATTGTTTTTTTATTACATTAAATGAAATGAAATGAAATGGGGTTTAACATCCTACTGTTCTGCTCTTAAACTGGGCTAATGAAGACGGGCATACACCATACAGTGTGCTATGAAGGAAATTTTGCCCGGGCAGTGGCACTATCGCCTACTCTTATATCGATTCCAACTGCCAAGGGATCTTTTACGTGCATTCCAATGTATATACGGGACCTTGGTTTTTCGAAATCCGAGGGACTAGACAGCCGTCCTTGTCAGGCCCTCCGTCCTGCATCGCTGACAAGGGGGGACCACGCATTACATTAAAAATGTTTGGCCGTTACGACTAAATTTTTTGGACGTTATATAACCAAACTGTTTGGCCGTTTAAATTATAACTAAAGTAGTGCCGTTTTGACCAAACCTGTTTTAGGTCGTTATGGCATAGGGCCGTTATGACCACATCCCCTGGCATATTTTGCAGAACATACATGTACATGTAACTGATATTAGAAATTACAGTAAAAACAGAAACGATTGAATGTAAAATCAGTTGATATACATTCATGCCGGTATTACATTATTATATGAGTTGCAACCAATATGAAGATGGCCTTTTTTCAAAATTCCAAAAATTTTGGTAGAAAAGAATTATTCCAGATATAATGTCACTCCAAATTAATCTCAATCAGAAAGTGTTGCTATCTTCAGGATTACTATTTTTTTTTAAAAAGAAATTTAAGGTTACAAAGTTTAAGACCCACTTTTGATAAATTTTACCTATAAATTAGATCATATTTTGGTATCCTTAAGATATGAAAAACAAATGGTAACGAAATGATAATGATTTTATTTTTGATTTGACATCATGGGCATGAAATCAATCAAATTATCAGATGAAATGAAATAAGATCTTTGTTTAATCAGATGAAATGAAATAAGATCTTTGTTTAATCAGATGAAATGAAATAAGATCTTTGTTTAATCAGATTGGTTTCAATATAGGCAGTTCGATGATGAAAATTTTCTGCCTAGACTAAGTAGCGATAAGCAATTCGATTGGTCAAGACTTTGGAACATAACAACTCTGCTTTTAATTGAGGTTCGGTATAGATGTTCTTTCATTAGGCGAATGTCTTGACTGAGTTCAATGATTAATATTTCCCGCTAAAGCTTAGCAGATCTAAGCAATTTCATTGGTTGTCGCTTTAGGACAAAATAATTTGATTCTAACTGATAGAGAGTTATTGAAACTTAGTGTATACATGTAGTTTCACTACCAGGTACATGTACTTCAAAACCTTGAATGAGTTTAATCGTGAACATTTTATGCTTAGACTAATCATACATGTACATGTACATGTACACAATCTGTTTGATTACTCATTACTTTTGAAAAAGATAAATTAATTAATATGTGTCACCTACAATGTATTTATTTTCGGATTTCACCGGGGCGACATCAGCCTCACTGTTAGCTTGTTGTTCTTATACATTTCTTTTGTCAAGCCATTGATGAAGGGCAGTACATGTACATGAGGGCAGTCTTCTGTGATATTACATGTAGCAAGGCTTTTGACAGATCTTACACGCCGGACTATATTTAAAGCTTGGGGCAACACTTGGGGATAAGGGAAGATCTGCTTGACTTGTTTAGAAGTTAATTAAAGATACATTCCTGGGTACAAACTGGGTGATTTGATGATATATTTGGACTAAAAACATATTCAAACTAATAAATTTATCATAATTTTGCTTCAGATCCTTCTCAAAACATTGCAATTGTCGAGGAATACCCTGGCTATAAAAAATCAATAAAAAGAGGTCATGTTTGTGTCACTTGACTTACATGTATTCTCTCGATACCTAGCAACAGAAGCGAAGTCGGAGAAAAATTCATTGCATACACAAGACGATGTTGTCTTTAATAGCTGACAATTTATTACAAATATCAAAGCCTAATTAAATTTTCGGATTATCCACTGCCAGCGTCTTTTTCCGTGATTTTTATCTCAGAAAGTGTCGTACATGTACGTGTAATTCTTCATAAAGTTTATCAACATGTACATGAAGCGCTCAATCTCCGTGTGCAACCTTCGACGTCACGTGTGCAGACACTCCTAATCATCAGGCTATCGATTAGGGAAACCCATACATTTTTGTCCTGTTTGCGCTCTATGAGTGTTTTTCAGGGAATCCAGTATGGGTGTTTTTCAGGGAATCCAGTATTTTTGTAGTAAGATTGGATATTTCTACTTTTCATGTATAAAAATTGCCATACTTTTATTGGAAATAACCACCCGATAAATACTTTTCTGGGAACGTAACTTTAACCAATAGAACTAATAGGAGCCAAATTGTGATTGTTAGTGGTAGGCCTACATGTACATACTACATGTACAGTACATGTACCTCGTCGTCTTCTGTGACTGTCCCAGCTGGTATTCCACAGGCTCTGTCCTTGGACTACTCCTCTTCCTTATATATAAATGATATTGTTGAAACCCTTAATTCCAATGTTATATTATTTGCAGATGATACCAGCTTGTATTTGAGAATCTATGACCCAATCATTACTTGGGCAAAGACTTGACTTGTCTCTTTCAATCCACTGAAAACTAAAACACTTACACTATCAACATGTACTACATGTACATGTATATAAAAGGACCCAATTTTGCTGAAACTTTCACTAGACAACACTGCAGTAAAGGAAGTCTTCGAACACAAGCATTTCGGGCTGACTTTTCAAAATCGT